ACCTTCAAGGTTCCTTATCACAGTCACTTACAGTACCAGGATCATTCAAGGTTCCTTAAAACAGTCACTTACAGCACCAGGAACCTTCAAGGTTCCTTAACGCAGTCACTTACCGTACCAGGATCCTTCCTGGTTCCTTAACACAGTCACTTACAGTACCAGGAACCTTCAAGGTTCCTTAAAACAGTCACTTACAGTACCAGGAACCTTCAAGGTTCCCTAACGCAGTCACTTACAGTACCAGGAACCTTCAAGGTTCCTTAACACAGTCACTTACAGTACGAGGAACCTTCAAGATTCCATAACACAGTCATTTACAGTACCAGGAACATTCAAGGTTCCTTAACACAGTCACCTACAGTACCAGGAACCTTCAAGGTTCCTTAACACAGTCAGTTACTGTACCAGGAACCTTCAAGGTTCCTTAATAGAGTCGCCAACAGTACCAGGAACCTTCAAATTTCCTTAACACAGTCACCTACAGTGCCAGGAACCTTCAAGGTTCCTTAACACAGTCACTTACAATACCAGGAAAATTCAAGGTTCCTTAACACAGTCACTAACAGTACCAGGAACCTTCAAGGCTCCTTAACACAGTCACCTACAGTACCAGGAACTTTCAAGGTTCCTTAACACAGTCACCTCCAGTACCAGGAACCTTCAAGGTTCCGTAACACAGCCACTTACAGTACCAGGAACCTTCAAGGTTCTTTAACACAGTCAATTACAGTACCAGGAACCTTCAAGGTTCCTTAACACAGTCAATTACAGTACCAGGAACCTTCAAGGTTCTTTAACACAGTCAATTACAGTACCAGGAACATTCAAGGTTCCTTAACACATTCAATTATAGTACCAGGAACCTTCAAGGATCCTTAACACAGTCAATTACAGTACGAGGAACCTTTAAGTTTCCTTAACACAGTCACTTACAGTACCAGGAACTTTCAAGGTTCCTTAACACAGTCACTTACAGTACCAGGAACCTTCAAGGTTCCTTAACACAGTCAATTACAGTACGAGGAACCTTCAAGGTTCCTTAACACAGTCACTTACAGTACCAGGAACCTTCAAGACTCCATAACACAGTCACCTACAGTACCAGGAACCTTCAAGGTTCCTTAACACAGTCACTTACAGTACCAGGAACCTTCAAGGTTCCTTAACACAGTCACTTACAGTACCAGGAACCTTCAAGGTTCCTTAACACAGTCAATTACAGTACCAGGAACCTTCAAGGCTTCTTAACACAGTCACTTACAGTACCAGGAACCTTCAAGGTTCCTTAACACTGTCACTTTCAGTACCAGGAACCTTCAAGGTTCCTTAACACAGTCACTTACAGTACCAGGAACCTTCAAGGTTCCTTAACACAGTCACTTACAGTACCAGGAACCTTCAAAGTTCCTTAACACAGTCACTTACAGTACCAAGAACCTTCAAGGTTCCTTAACACAGTCACTTACAGTACCATGAAGCTTCAAGGTTCCATAACACAGTCACCTACAGTACCAGGAACCTTCAAGGTTCCTTAACACAGTCACTTACAGTACCAGGAACCTTCAAGGTTCCTTAACACAGTCACTTACAGTACCAGGAACCTTCAAGGTTGCGTAACACAGTCACTTACAGTACCAGGAACCTTCAAGGTTCCTTAACACAGTCACTTACAGTACCAGGACCCTTCAAGGTTCCATAACACAGTCACCTACAGTACCAGGAACCTTCAAGGTTCCTTAACACAGTCACTTACAGAACCAGGAACCTTCAAGGTTCCTTAACACAGTCACTTACAGTACCAGGAACCTTCAAGGTTCCTTAACACAGTCACTTACAGTACCAGGAACCTTCAAGGTTCCTTAACACAATCACTTACAGTACCAGGAACCTTCAAGGTTCCTTAACACAGTCACTTACAGTACCAGGATCCTTCAAGGTTCCTTAACACAGTCACTTACAGTACCAGGAACCTTCAAGGTTCTTTAACACAGTCACTTACAGTACCAGGAACCTTCAAGGTTCCTTAACACAGTCACTTACATTACCAGGATCCTTCAAGGTTCCTTAACACAGTCACTTACATACCAGGAACCTTCAAGGTTCTTTAACACAGTCACTTACAGTACCAGGAACCTTCAAGGTTCCTTAACACAGTCACTTACAGTACCAGGATCCTTCAAGGTTCCTTAACACAGTCACTTACAGTACCAGGAACCTTCAAGGTTCTTTAACACAGTCACTTACAGTACCAGGAACCTTCAAGGTTCCTTAACACAGTCACTTACATTAAAACTTCGTGAAATAAAACATTGTAATATAACATTGCGTGATATAACATTGTGTAATATAACATTGTGTAATATAACTTTGCGTAATATAACATTGTGTAATATAACATTGTGTAATATAACATTGTGTAATATAACATTGCGTAATATAACATTGCGTAATATAACATTTTGTAATATAACATTGTGTAATATAACATTGTGTAATATAACATTGCGTGATATAACATTGTGTAATATAACATTGTGTAATATAACATTGTGTAATATAACTTTGCGTAATATAACATTGTGTAATATAACATTCTGTAATATAACATTGTGTAATATAACATTGTGTAATATAACATTGCGTAATATAACATTGTGTAATATAACATTGTGTAATATAACATTGTGTAATATAACATTGCGTGATATAACATTGTGTAATATAACATTGTGTAATGTAACATTGTGTAATATAACATTGTGTAATATAACATTGTGTAATATAACATTGTGTAATATAACATTGCGTGATATAACATTGTGTTATATAACATTGTGTAATATAACATTTTTGAAAATATAACATTGCGTAATATAACATTGTGTAATATAACATTGTGTAATATAACATTGTGTAATATAACAATGCGTAATATGACAGTGCGTAATATAACATTGCGTAATATAAAATTGCGTAACATAACATTGCGTAACACAACATTGCGTAAAATAACATTGCGTAACATAACATTGCGTAACATAACATTGCGTAATATAACATTGCGTAACATAACATTGCGTAACATAAAATTGCGTAACATAACATTGAGCAACATAACATTGCGTAACATAACATTGCATAACATAACATTGCGTAACATAACATTGCGTAACATAACATTGAGCAACATAACATTGCGTAACATAACATTGCGTAATATAACATTGCGTAACATAACATTGCATAACATATCATTGCGTAATATAACATTGCATAACATAACATTGCGTAACATAACATTGCGTAACATAACATTGAGCAACATAACATTGAGCAACATAACATTGCGTAACATAACATTGCGTAATATAACATTGCGTAACATAACATTGCGTAACATAACATTGCGTAATATAACATTGCATAATATAACATTGCATAATATAACATTGCATAACATAACATTGCGTAACATAACATTGCGTAACATAACATTGAGCAACATAACATTGAGCAACATAACATTGTGTAATATAACATTACGTAACATAACATTGCATAACATAACATTGCGTAATATAACATTGCGTAATATAACATTGAGCAACATAACATTGAGCAACATAACATTGCGTAATATACCATTGCGTAACATAATATTGCGTAACATAACATTGCGTAACATAACATTGCGTAATATGACATTGCGTAACATAACATTGCGTAATATAACATTGAGCAACATAACATTGAGCAACATAACATTGCGTAACATAACATTGCATAACATCACATTGCGTAACATAACATTGCGTAACATAACATTGCGTAATATAACATTGAGCAACATAACATTGAGCAACATAACATTGCGTAATATACCATTGCGTAACATAACATTGCGTAACATAACATTGCGTAATATAACATTGCATAATATAACATTGCGTAATATAACATTGCGTAACATAACATTGCGTAATATAACATTGAGCAACAAACATTGAGCAACATAACATTGCGTAACATAACATTGCGTAACATAACATTGCGTAAATTTTAACATTGAGCAACATAACAATGAGCAACATAACATTGCGTAATATAACATTGCGTAACATAACATTGCGTAATATAACATTGAGCAACATAACATTGAGCAACATAACATTGCGTAACATAACATTGCGTAACATAACATTGCGTAATATAACATTGAGCAACATAACATTGAGCAACATAACATTGCGTAATATAACATTGCGTAACATAACATTGCGTAATATAACATTGAGCAACATAACATTGAGCAACATAACATTGAGCAACATAACATTGCGTAACATAACATTGCGTAATATAACATTGCGTAACATAACATTGCGTAACATAACATTGCGTAATATAACATTGAGCAACATAACATTGCGTAATATAACATTGCGTAATATAACATTGCGTAACATAACATTGCGTAATATAACATTGAGCAACATAACATTGCGTAACATAACATTGCGTAATATAACATTGCGTAATATAACATTGCGTAACATAACATTGCGTAACATAACATTGCGTAACATAACATTGCGTAACATAACATTGCGTAATATAACATTCCGTAACATAACAATGCGTAACATAACATTGCGTAATATAACATTACGTAATATAATGTTATAACAACGAAACTCTTTTCATCACATTATTTTTAGTCATAATTACTAAAGATAGAATTATTATCATAATTAAGATGGATATAATTATCATAATTATGACAGATATAATTATCATAATTACGCCAGATATAATTATCATAATTACGCCTGATATAATTATTATCATAATGATCCGAGACAGAATTATTATCCAATGGAGAGAAGAGCACTAAACCCATAGGGGACTTTACAGCACCAGCAAAAAGTCATAAAATCATGTTTGATCCAAGGAGAGCAGAGTAGATCCAAATCCTTGGATGAAGAGCCTACACAACTCACCTTCGTCATATGTCCTGTCTGAAAGGCGAACCCGCCCACAGGTACGACCGTGGGCGTGTGTGGGGCGTGGGCGTCCAGGAGTGGGTCCCAGACCAGAACTACGGACGCTAGCGAGGCGTAGAGCGCGTCAAGGGCCGGTACTGGTGACCAGTCCGCCGGAAGTGTCGTCAAGACTGGTGCCAACCACAGCTGTCGTAGTGATGACAGGTATCTGGAACACATGTACACACTAACATGTACACTCTAGCACATGCACACTCTTGCACATATACACTCTAACACATGTACAATCTAACACATGTACACATTAACACATATACACTAGAGACTACATTGTAGGTACAATTCAGTCCGGAGAACATAAAGTAGTCATTGGAGTGATGTATAACCCACCACAGAACTGCAGGAGGCCAAGAGAGGAGTACGAAGAAAACAACAGGGTGATGGTGGACACACTGGCTGAGGTGGCAAGAAGAGCTCACTCGAGCAGAGCAAAGTTACTGGTAATGGGCGATTTCAACCACAGGGAGATCGACTGGGAAAACCTGGAGCCACATGGGGGTCCCGAAACATGGAGAGCCAAGATGATGGATGTGGTACTTGAAAACCTCATGCATCAACATGTCAGGGACACAACCAGAGAGAGAGGGGAGGATGAGCCAGCAAGACTGGATCTTGTGTTCACCCTGAGCAGTTTCAGACATTGAGGACATCACTTATGAGAGGCCCCTTGGAGCTAGCGATCATGTGGTTCTGAGTTTTGACTATATAGTAGAGTTACAAGTGGAGAAGGTAACAGGAACTGAAGGGGACAGGCCAAAATAAAAAGGGGGACTACACAGGTATGAGAAACTTCCTGCAGGGGGTTTTCAGGGGGACAGAGAAATGGTAGGAAAATCAGTAAACGAGATGATGGAATATGTGGCAACAAAGTGCAAGGAGGCAGGGGAAAAAGTTTTGTTCCCAAGGGAAACGGAAATAATAGGAAGACCAAAACGAGTCCTTGGTTTACCCGAAGGTGTAGGGAGGCAAAAACTAAGTGCACAGAGAATGGAAAAGGTACAGGAGGCATAGGACCCAGGAAAACAAGGAGATTAGTAGAAGAGCCAGAAACGATATGCACAGATAAGGAGGGAGGCCCAGCGACAGTATGAAAACGACATAGCATCGAAAGTCAAATCTGACCCGAAACTGCTGTATAGCCACATTAGGAGGAAGACAACAGTCAAGGACCAGGTGATAAGGCTGAGGAAAGAAGGTGGAGAACTCACAAGAAACGATCAAGAGGTATGTGAGGAGCTAAACAAGAGATTTAAGGAAGTATTTACAGTAGAGACAGGAAGGACTCTGGGGGACAGACCAGACGGGGACACCAGCAAGGAATACACCAACAAGTGTTGGACGACATACATACAGATGAGAGGAGGTGAAGAAACTGCTAAGGGACATCGATACCTCAAAGGCAATGGGACCAGACAACATCTCCCCGTGGGTCCTTAGAGAGGGAGCAGATATGTTGTGCGTGCCACTTACCCACAATCTTCAACACTCCCTGGAAACTGGGCAACTACCTGAGGTAATGGAAGACGGCAAATGTAGTTCCATTTTTAAAAAAGGAGACAGAAAAGAGGCACTAAACTATAGACCTGTGTCATTGACGTGTATAGTATGCAAAATTATGGAGAAGATTTTCAGGAGGAGAGTGGTGGAGCACCTGGAACGGAACAGGAGTATAAATGCCAACCAGCACGGATTCACGGAAGGCAAATCCTGTGTCACAAACCTTCTGGAGTTTTATGATAAAATAACAGAAGTAAGACAAGAGAGAGAGGGGTGGGTTGATTGCATCTTCTTGGACTGCAAGAAGGCCTTTGACACAGTTCCTCACAAGAGATTAGTGCAGAAGCTAGAGCATCAGGCGCATATAACAGGAAGGGCACTGCAATGGATCAGAGAATACCTGACAGGGAGGCAACAACGAGTCATGGTACGTAATGATGTATCACAGTGGGCACCTGTGACGAGCGGGTCCCACAGGGGTCGGTCCTAGGACCAGTGCTATTTTTGGTATATGTGAACGACATGACGGAAGGGTTAGACTCAGAAGTGTCCCTGTTTGCAGATGATGTGAAGTTAATGAGGAGAATTAAATCTGATGAGGACCAGGCAGGACTTCAAAGAGACCTGGACAGACTGGACACCTGGTCCAGCAAATGGCTTCTCGAATTTAATCCTGCCAAATGCAAAGTCATGAAGATGGGGGAGGGGCACAGAAGACCACAGACAGAGTATAGGCTAGGTGGCCAAAGACTGCAAACCTCACTCAAGGAGAAAGATCTTGGGGTGAGTATAACACCGAGCATGTCTCCGGAAGCACACATCAATCAGATAACTGCTGCAGCATATGGGCGCCTGGCAAACCTGAGAACAGCATTCCGATACTTTAGTAAGGAATCATTCAAGACACTGTACACCGTGTATGTCAGGCCCATACTGGAGTATGCAGCACCTGTTTGGAACCCGCACTTGATAAAGCACATCAAGAAACTAGAGAAAGTGCAAAGGTTTGCGACAAGGTTAGTTCCAGAGCTAAGGGGAATGTCCTATGAGGAAAGATTAAGGGAAATCGGCCTGACCACACTGGAGGACAGGAGGGTCAGGGGAGACATGATAACGACATATAAAATACTGCGTGGAATAGACAAGGTGGACAAGAACAGGATGTTCCAGGGAGGGGACACAGAAACAAGAGGCCACAATTGGAAGTTGAAGACACAAATGAGTCAGAGAGATAGTAGGAAGTATTTCTTCAGTCATAGAGTTGTAAGGCAGTGGAATAGCCTAGAAAATGACGTAGTGGAGGCAGGAACCATACACAGTTTTAAGACGAGGTTTGATAAAGCTCATGGAGCGGGGAGAGAGAGGGCCTAGTAGCAACCGGTGAAGAGGCGGGGCCAGGAGCTAGGACTCGACCCCTGCAACCACAAATAGGTGAGTACAAATAGGTGAGTACATGTTCACTCTAACACATGTTCAATCTAACACACGTAGACTCTAACACATGTACACTTTAACACATGCATAATATCTGAAACACATGTACACTCTAACACAAATACACTATCTGAAACATATGTACACTATCTGTAACAATTGTACAATATCTGAAACACATGTATACTATCTGAAACACATACCTGGAGTTTACCTGGAGAGAGTTCCGGGGGTACACTACTGTAACACTATATGAAATGCATGTACAATATTTGTAACAAATGTACATAATCTGTAACATATGTACATAATCTGTAACATATTTACACATGTATAGTATCTGAAACACATAGACACAACACATAGGCAACAAACACACAGTCACACACTACGAGAACTAGATACAACACCAACATGCGATCCCGAAGGGGAAGTCGTCGACTCAGGGGTACAGAGAAAAATGGGCCTGGAAAGGAAGAGTGGGTGGAGGAGCTATGTTAAAGGATGGAACAAGAGTGGGAAACCAAGCTAGATGAACTTACAGTGAGAATGGTGAAGAGGATGGAAGCAGAGAAGATGATGTGGGAGTGAGAATGGTGAAGAGGATGGAAGCAGAGAAGATGATGTGGGAGTGAGAATGGTGAAGAGGATGGAAGCAGAGAAGATGTGGGAGAAGAGAGCTGAAGCTGAGGAAGCCTGGATGCAGACCCTAGAAGCTGAAGTAAAAATGCCGAAGCAACATACAGGGCAAACGACCAGAAAAAACTTAGAACCTGGAGCAGGTACACCAACAAGAGAGGGGGGCTAAAGGAAAGGAAGGAAATAAGTCTTATGTTAAAACCATATCAGACCAGGAAATGTCGAAGAATGAAAGGGGCATGCTGTTGGGCACAGGGACTGCAGTTAGTTGGGGGGGTGCAGGTGGAGACAGTGAGAGGCCACCTGCAAAGGTCCATGTGGGCCTCAGGGAGATACAGGAGATAGTAAAGGAGACAATGGCTATGTATAAATGGGATCCTGCACTGCGGAGAAAAATGCAATGAGAAGAGGAGAGGTGAGTACATGCACATTATCTGTAGATCACGAGGCACCACAACACAACTCACCCATAATGGCTGGCTAAGTTTGATGCTCGCGCCCATATAGAAGTGTCTGTCATGTGGTGAGGTGGTACTGGTGTTGATGCCAGGGAGGGTAGCACACCCATGTGCTCCCACACCCACCACGCCCCCACACGTGACGTCACCACGCCCACAACCTTCACCCCCACCCGCTGGGCTAGTCCCAACACGCACATGTCGTGGAGGAATAGTGGAGTAACTACTAACTTGGCGTGGGACATAACGCGTCCCACCCACGCCTTGCTTGTCATCTCCTTACACGCCCATATTCTGGAGGCTACTACACGCCCATTCACCCACTCCACGCCCGCGTCCTCGCCTGGAGTCACGCCCACAGCCTCGCCCTTATGGTACATAGGATCGTCTTCAGCTGCAACAATCTGCAACACCTGGTTGATGAGGCAAGACACTTGTCAGTGTTGTCTGCAACACCTGGTTGATGAGGCAAGACACTTGTCAGTGTTGTCTGCAACACCTGGTTGATGAGGCAACACACATTGTCAGTGTTGTCTGCAACACCTGGTTGATGAGGCAACACACTTGTCAGTGTTGTCTGCAACACCTGTTGATGAGGCAAGACACTTGTCAGTGTTGTCTGCAACACCTGGTTGATGAGGCAACACACTTGTCAGTGTTGTCTGCAACACCTGGTTGATGAGGCAAGACACTTGTCAGTGTTGTCTGCAACACCTGGTTGATGAGGCAACACACTTGTCAGTGTTGTCTGCAACACCTGGTTGATGAGGCAACACACTTGTCAGTGTTGTCTGCAATATCTTTCACATTATAATTGTAAATAATTATATTATTATTATTATTATATTATTATTATTATTATTATTATTATTATTATTATTATTATTATTAACTTTGATGGTAGTAGTAGAAGTAGTAGTAGTTAAAGCAGCAGTAGTAGTAGTAGTAGTAGTATTAGTAGTAGTAGTTGTAGCAGTAGTAGTAGTAGTGGTAGTAGTTGTAGCAGAAGCAGTAATAGTAGTAGTAGTACTAGTAGTACTATTACTACTATTGCTACTACTGCTACTACTACTGCTACTACTACTTAGTAGCAGTAGCAGTAGTAGCAATAGTAGCAATAGTAGGAATAGTAGTAGTAGTAGTAGCAGTAGTAGTAGCAGCAGTAGTAGCAATGGTGGTGGTAGTAGCAGCAGTATTAGTAGCAGTAGTAGTAGCAGTAGTAGTAGTAGTGGTAGTAGTTGTAGCATAAGCAGTAATAGTAGTAGTAGTACTAGTAGTACTATTACTACTATTGCTACTACTGCTACTACTACTGCTACTACTACTTAGTAGCAGTAGTAGCAATAGTAGCAATAGTAGTAGGAATAGTAGTAGTAGTAGTAGTAGCAGTAGTAGTAGCAGCAGTAGTAGCAATGGTGGTGGTAGTAGCAGCAGTATTAGTAGTAGTAGTAGTAGCAGTAGTAGTAGCAGTAGTAGTAGCAGTAGCAGTAATAGTAATAGTAGTAGTAGAAGTCGCAGTAGCAGTAGTAATTATAACAGCAGTAGTATAGGGGGACATTTTTTAAAGTTCAGTAATTTCGATATTATTATTATTATTACTATTATTATTATTATTATTAAGTAAGGGGTTTGTGGGGTTGAGAGAGACTAATGAGGTTTGATCGACACTTTAACACTGCTAGTAAGTATTAACACCATTGTAATAGCAATGGTGACACTAGTGACACTAGCAGCTGTCGTACCTACCACTACTTCTAATTGTAGTAGTAGTAGTACTAGTAGTACCTCACTGATGGGACAAGAACCATTATCCTATTGATGGGACAAGAACCATCACCCCATTGATGGGGCAAGAACCATCATCCCATTGATGGGGCAAGAACCATTATCCAATTGATGGAGCAAGAACCATCACCCCATTGATGGGGCAAGAACCATCATCCCATTGATGGAGCAAGAACCATCACCCCATTGATGGGGCAAGAACCATCACCCCATTGATGGGGCAAGAACCATCACCCATTGATGGGGCAAGAACCATCACCCCATTGATGGGGCAAGAACCATCATCCCATTGATGGGGCAAGAACCATCATCCCATTGATGGGGCAAGAACCATCACCCCATTGATGGGGCAAGAACCATCACCCCATTGATGGGGCAAGAACCATCACCCCATTGATGGGGCAAGAACCATCACCCCATTGATGGGGCAAGAACCATCACCCCATTGATGGGGCAAGAACCATCATCCCATTGATGGGTCAAGAACCATCACCCATTGATGGGGCAAAAACCATCACCCCATTGATGGAACAAGAACCGTGAAAATTTTAACACGCAAATCTGCGACTGAATAAAATATAACAGAAATCGATTTACATATTTAAACAAATATTAGCACTTACTCTGAGTCCAGGACTATATAAACTTGATTATATATTTTTTTCATCATGTTGACAAATCAGTTCACTGATACCTGAAGTGTTGCTCTCTACTAGACATAGTTTTGAGTTGGGAACAAAGGTATGAGCACTGCCGTAGGCCTATTGGCCCATGACTTGTCAGTAAAGTACTGCCTTTATTGCTGTATATGTTAGTTGAAGCATAATTTGATAATTTGGATAATCTCTGATATATAAAACACATTTTCCTTCAGTTTTTTCACTATTCCTCAACAATATAAGTGAGAGTTCGCTAGATACTTGGATTTGTCTAACCACAGTGAACCTTGAAGCTGATATGAAGTACGTCTTTCACTGGGCGAGCCTCAGATAACAATATGATGTTCACTGAGGACAAATTTCAATTGCTTCACTGTGGAACAACTGGGAAAATATTGAATGTGAGTACAAAAAAAATTAGAATCATTCAATAAAGCGGAAGTTTAATATGGGACACTTGTGAATGACAATATCAGAGAAACTCACATTCAAGAATAACAATAATGTTATTATAGCATTATACTGCATTTGTGTCTTTATTTATTTTCTCTGTATTTTATACCATTTCTCCCCATAACTAACACAGAGAAGATAACTGACTGGATAACTAAAACATTAAAAATAGAGTATCACAAGCCAGCCAGTGATGATCATCTTTAAGTCACTTGTTCTCTCTCTCTCTCTCTCTCTAGGCTGGATTATTGCTGTACACTGATGGTCACCTTCAAGGCAGGAGAGATGTAAAGCTGTAAAACGTACAAAGAACCTTCAGTGCTTGTATAAATTCCGTCAAGGATCTGAGCTACTCAGAACACTTGAAGTTCCGTCATTAAGACTGGTGGACTGAACAACCCACTGGTTGGCTAAGCATCTGCTCAGTGAAGATGCCCAGGTGTTACACACTTGTCTTATTCACGTTGTTGGCAGTTTTATGTATCATTAATATACAGCAGCTGTAATGACAGAACTACGCAGATATCACAATGTCCACAACCCTCCTCCTGGGTGAAGGCACTGTACTTCCCACCTCCAGGATTCAAGTTCGGCTAATTGGTTTCCCTGAATTTTTTCATAATTGTTTCCATGTTTACATTGTACCAGCATGTCAAACCATAAAAGCCATTTGTCTCCACCCTACTCTAACACAGACACGCCTATTGCATGCTCAAGCCCCTAATACTCAGCTCCTAGTACCCGCTCCCTCTAACCTTTCTTTGGTGACTTCTACCAACCCCTCCTTCCTTCCAGCCCACATTTATACACCTTCTTGGTCATTTTCTTTTTCTCCAACCTCTCAAAATGCCTAAATTACCTCAAGAATCTTTCCTCAGATCTTTGAACTATGCCTTTGGTAACCCCCGCACAGATTTCTAATTTCTAAGTCGTGAATTCTTTACATAAGTCACACCACACATTACATCTCCACCGCCTTAAGCTTCCTTCTCACTACAACATTTAAAGCTCGTACCTCACACCCATATAAAAGTGCAGGTACCACTATACTCGGGTACATTTTCCTTTTTGAATCCATAGATAAATCTTCACAGATGACTCAACACACAACCTAATATGTTTTTCGCTCGTATATTCTATGAGTCACTCGTGGCGACATGTCTACTCCAAATATCTGAATAAAATTATTTCTCCCATACTCTTTCCCTCAAATCTGGTGTACAATCTTTCAATGCCAAGTCTTTCTGTTACTCTCATTACCCTCCTCTTTTCTATGTTCACCATTATTTTCTTTCTTTTAAATAGCCTCCCAGATTCCTGCACCAACCTTCTACAGCTTCTCCTCATAATCTTCCAAAAACACTGTGTCATCGACAAAGAACAACTGTTACAATTTCCTCCAGCACACTAGCGTTCACCTCCTTTACAACTCCCATTTATAAATATATTAAACAACCATGGTGACTTCAACCATGTTAGGTACAAGAACACAAGTGCAACTAATGTGACATTTTACTGTGGCAACGTTTCGCTCTCCAGGAGCTTTATTAAGCCGTAGCAGCTTGAAAAAGCACTTATGTTCTTTTACCTAATACATTGTTGGTAATTCTTCCAACATTATTACAACTTCCTCCATCCCCTTCTAAGGCCTAATTTTATTGGAAAATAGTTTTACATATCCTAACCTGAGCCTCACTATCAACATACTTATTATAACTTTTAGTAATCTACCACTGTTAAAATATTTGTTTTCCAATCCACCTTTCTTATGCCTTTTATAAATGCACAAATAAAACAGAAAGTTCCTTACCTTAATATACTGTAAGTACTGGTCACTTATATGCCTCATTATTATTATTATAATAAAAAAGAAGCGCTAAGCCACAAGGGCTATACAGCGTTATATGCCTCAGTGTAAACCCATAGTCTGGTATAAACCTTGGTAATAAATACCGACAAGTTGGTTTAGAAAGACACGTAAGCAAACACTATGACATATTTATTAGAAAACGTTTCGGTCCTGGGACCTTGATCACTTCTAACATACAGAGGTAGAAAGGCATTATATATATAGGTGGTGAGTGAGGTGTGACGCACGTGACCTGAGGAATGTCATAAGAACATAAGAATGGAGGAACACTGTAGAAGGCCTACTGGCCCTTATCAAAACAACCTCTGCCTATGATGAGGACGGGTAGACGATGAAATCATGTGACTCCTGTGTTGTTGGGTTGGTGCTGCTTAAGTATCATATATGCCAATGCGATTATCAAAGACCTCACTACATCTATCAAAGACCTCACTACGAAACGCAGCCCCACACCTCTAACTTCTACAGCAGGCGTCCACACTATCCCCTGTGGGTTCTGTCCCAAGAAATATGTAGGCGAGACAGGCAGAGATCTTGCAGTCCGCTTGAATGAGCATCGAAATGCCTCTAACAGAGACGATGTAAGGTACGCCTGTGTCCTCCACAGAGACTCCACGGGACATTTGATGAACTGGAATGAGGCACAACTCGTTCTCACCGAACCAGACCTTAGACGCCGACGGTGCCTAGAGTTTTTAAGTTTAATATGTTTATTATGCACCCCATACCCATCCTGTGGGCGGTAGTCAAAAGATTACAGAGGTACATAATGGGTCCAGGGACTGGGCCTCAAAGTTTTGATAGCTGAGCAAGTTACAGAGGTAATGAATTCACAATTTACAAAGGTAATGAACTCACAATTTACAAAGGTAATGAACTCCAGGTAGGTCTAGTCACAATCATGACAAGTTACAAAGGTATTTACAGATTACAGAGGTACACAATGGGTCCAGGGACCGGGCTCCAAAGTTTTGATGGCTGAACTAGGTACAAGGTAATGAACTCACAAGTTACAAAGGTAATGAACTCACAAGTTACAAAGTAATGAATACTGTAAGAATGGTTACTTACGTTTATACATGGCTGCAATCATGAACAAATTTTAGAGTAATGAGCAATTCACACTTCCACACCCGGTCACAACTGTGTGAGTTATTGGTGCAAATGTTGATTGCTGAGTCTCTCTCTCTCTCTCTCACACACACACACATACAAATTCATACACACACACACATAAACACACACACACACACACACACACACACACACACACACACACACACACACATACACACACACACACACACCACACACACACACACACACACACACACACACACACACAAACTCATACACCACACACGCACACACTCATACTCGCCGTCACCGACACTATAGAACGCAACACTGGAAACTACAAAATTTCAAAAACATTGGCATATATGATACTTAAGCAGCACCAACCCAACAACACAGGAGTCACATGATTTCATCGTCTACCCGTCCTCATCATAGGCAGAGGTTGTTTTGATAAGGACCTGCCTCGCATGGGCCAGAAGGCCTTCTACAGTGTTCCTCCATTCTTATGTTCTTATGACATTCCTCAGGTCACGTGCGTCACACCTCACTCACCGCCTATATATATAATGCCTTTCTACCTCTATATGTTAGAAGTGATCAAGGTCCCAGGACCGAAACGTTTTCTAATAAATGTCATAGTGTTTCCTTACGTGTCTTTCTAAACCAAACCCATAGTCTACACATTCCATACACATTTCACATTCTCGTTCTTACTATCTTGCTCATATCTCTACCCTTTCAAATATAATTGTAAAATACAGTGTACTCGGTATACTCAAGATAGATTATTCCAATATAATTCTTGCACTCTCCCTTTTTCCATTATACAAAGAAACCATTCATGTTCTCTGCTTTCCCTTATTTCGCTTTGTTTCCAGATCTGTATGGATATCACAGTGCAAATGACCTACTAAAACATCTATATTTGCATATACATTTAAATTTATATGTATGAATAAAAATTTGCATAGTTTTAACATAGTACATCACATTCACCTTGACTCCCGGAGGGAAGATCTCATCTCTGTGAGGAGAACCGTAGACGATGGCTGCAACACTGTGGCCCTGACTGTTGAGTAGAGAGGCAATTTGTGCTACTACCACCAGGTCCTCTCCTCCCCCCAGGGCCACCACAACCACGTCTGAGACTTCCTCAGGGCCCTCCGAGGATCTGTCATCGCCTGGGACTACAATAGGGTCTTCCGAAGAGCTGGAACCGTCGTCTGGGATAAATTCAGGGTTGCTGGAAGCTTTGTCAGTGACGTCTTCAGTGTTTCCAGGGCTTATAGCGATGTCTTCAGGTTCTTCAGCCACCTCTTTGGGGCCCTCAGAAACAACCTCTGTATCTTCGCTTTCCATATTAGAATATTTAGAAGCATCGTCGTGGGTCGGAATGATAACATCAGGGCCTTCAGGAAAGCTGGTGTCTATTTTATCATGTTCAAATCCCTTAGAAGCGATTTCAGGATTCTCATTTATGTCATGTTCATCTTTTACAATTTCAGGGCCAGTTGACACAATTTTAGGATCTTCAAGAGGTTCTGAGTGAGATTCAGGAAGACCCCCAGGACTTTCAGGGCTGAGATTCCAAGGCTGATCCAAGGAGTCCTTGTACACCTGAAAAAAAGAATTTAGTAATTTCAATATGTTTTAACATATGTTTACATATGTACTGTCTCTTTCTCTTTCTTATTCGACACCGTCAGACCTCCCACAACTTATTCATGATAATTAAAAAAAATAAAACCAATCAATCAATATTCACGTTTTTAATTTTAAAAATATAAATGTAATTATAAATCGTTGTCTATGCAGTATTTACACGGGAAAGAATAACTGATCAAGAGTACTCCAAGGCAATTCTTTGTTATTCAGTATATCTGATGGGGGGGCCTTTATTTGAAGCCCTGATGGGGACCTCTTAGGTAATTTTGAATTCGAATCTTGTTTTAGGTAACCCTGAATTCGTATCTAGTTTTAGCTAACCCTGAGGTCCTATCTTTTTTTTCAGGTAACCCGAAGTCGTATCTTGTTTAGGTAGCCCTGAAGGGGGTATATTCATTAGGTATCCCTGAATGAATACCTTTAAGTGGCAACTAGAATTATTTTTCCTCCAAGGCTTTTCTTTCATAGACTGAGACTGCCTTGTTCAGTAACTTCAAGTTCCATCAAAGACTGAGACTGCCTCGTTCAGTAACTTCAAGTTCCATCAAAGACTGAGACTGCCTCATTCAGTAACTTCAAGTTCCATCAAAGACTGAGACTGCCTCATTCAGTAACTTCAAGTTCCATCAAAGACTGAGACTGCCTCATTCAGTAACTGCAAGTTCCATCGAAGACTGAGACTGCCTCATTCAGTAACTTCAAGTTCCATCAAAGACTGAGACTGCCTCATTCAGTAACTTCAAGTTCCATCAAAGACTGAGACTGCCTCATTCAGTAACTTCAAGTTCCATCAAAGACTGAGACTGCCTCATTCAGTAACTGCAAGTTCCATCGAAGACTGAGACTGCCTCATTCAGTAACTGCAAGTTCCATCGAAGACTGAGACTGCCTCATGCAGTGCTGTTACCTTCAACAAGAGAGTGATTCATGCAACTCCTGTCATATGCAGAGTAACTTCCACAAATCATTCACTTCAACCAGTACATGTACTAGGTATACAGACCATAGCTGACATCAATGACATACTACTATATAGAAAGTCCCTTATTATGCTGAGCATTTCCCGCAGATTAGGTCAGTTTTGTCCCAGGATGCGACCCACACTAGTCCACTAACTCCCAGGTACCCATTTTACTGATGGATGAACATAGACAACTGGTGTAAAGAAACACGCCCAATGTTTCTACCCTCGCTGGGAATCGAGCCCAGACCCTCGCCGTGTGAAGCGAGAGCCTTAGCCACCAGGCCACGGGTCTTGGTGGCTTTTCAATGCCAATTTAGAGGAAAGTTGGCATCATTACTGAGGTGTGTGGCTACTAGTCTGACATCTTTAGTTTGAAAATGGGTAGTTTTTGCTGATAAAATATCATAATTATGGGGGAGCGCTAAACCCGTAGGGATTATACAGCGCCCGTGAGGGGGATGGAAGATATTCAGGCTCAATTCAGGGAACTGGAGCACAGATCCAATTCCCAAGATCAAGAGCCCCTCACCAGCATCAAGACACCTCCCTTGAGGGGTTTGCACGTAAAAAAAACTTGATTATAAGCTGTTATCAGCGTTATATATAACATAACACAACAATACACTATAAGTACACTATGTGTACATATAAATCTGCTAAATTACTAACACAGTAGGCGTGGAATTGTTGAATTCTGAGCAGTAAGTGGGGAATGCCTCTTCATATCAGGTTTTATGTCCTCTTGGAGAGTTGAAGTGTCCGTCATGGATGACGATGTTATGCTAGTTCTAGTATTGTCAGTAATGAAGGACACGGCACTGTGGCTTACATCTGTCTGTGTCAGATATGAGTATGTGTAACAGGATGGGAGCGAGTACCTGGAGAAGGCTTCGGGGATCAACGCCCCCGCGGTCCGGTCTGTGACCAGGACTCATGGTGGATCAGAGCCTGATCAACCAGCCTGTTACTGCTGCCTACTGACGTATGAAGACAGCCAGGGGTTTATTGGTAATCCTCCTTATGTATGCTTTGAGGTAGTTAAACAGCCCTGGGCCCCAGACACTTACTGTGTTGTCTCTCAGTGTACTCGTGGCGGCCATGCAAAGTGTTGATGGAGTCACGTTTGGCAGATGAAGTGATTTTTAATCGCTCCCAGTGTTCCAGAAGGTACAGTACACGACCTATTGTTCCACAAGGTACAGTACTCGTCCTATTGTTCCACAACGTACAGAACTCGTCCTATTGTTCCACAAGGTAGAGTACTCGCTTCCAGTGTTCCACCAGGTACAGTACTCGCTCCCAGTGTTCCACAAGATACAGTACTCGCTCCCAGTCTTCCACAAGGTTTAGAACTCGCCCCAAGTGTTCCACAAAGTAGAGTACTCGCTCACAGTGTTCCACAAGGTAAAGTACTCCTTCCCAGTGTTCCACAAGGTACAGTACTCGCCTCCAGTGTTCCACAAGGTACAGTACTCGCTTCCAGTGTTCTACAAGGTACAGTACTCGCTCCCAGTGTTTCACATGGTACAATACTCGCTATCAGTGTTCCACAAGGTACAGTACTCGCTCCCAGTGTTCCACAAGGTACAGTACTAGCTCCCAGTGTTCCGCAAGGTACAGTATTTGCTCCGAGTGTTACATAAGGTACAGTACTCGTCCTGTTGTTCCGCAAGGTACGGTACTAGTCCTATTTTTCCACAAGGTACAGTAGTCGCTCCCAGTGTTCCACAAGGTACAGTACTCGCTCCCAGTGTTCCACAAGATGCAGTGCTTGCTCCCAGTGTTCCAAAGGGTACAGTACTCGCTCCCAGTGTTCCACAAGGTACAGTACTCGCTCCCAGTGTCCTGCAAGGTACAGTACTCGCTATCAGTGTTCCAGAATGTACAGTACACGTCCTATTGTTCCACAAGGTACAGTACTCGCTCCCAGTGTTCCACAAGGTACAGTAGTCGGTCCCAGTGTCCTGCAAGGTACAGTACTCGGTCCCAGTGATCCATAAGGTACAGTACTCGTCCTACTTTTCCAATAGGCATAGTACTCTCTCCCAGTGTTTCGCAAGGTACAGTGCTTGCTCCCAGTGTTCCACAAGGTACAGTACTCGCTCCCAGTGTTCCACAAAGTACAGTACTCGCTCATAGTGTTCCACAAGGTACAGTACTCGCTCCCAGTGTTCCACAAGGTACAATACTCGCTCCCAATGTTCCACAAGGTACAGTACTCACTCCCTGTGTTCCAAAATGTAAAGTACTTGCTCCTAGTGTTCCACAAGGTACAATACTCGCTCCCAATGTTTCACAAGGTACAGTGCTCGCTCCCAGTGTTCCACAAGGTACAGTACTCGCTCATAGTGTTCCACAACGTACAGTACTCGCTCCCAGTGTTCCACGAGATAGAGTAGTCGCTCCCAGAGTTCCACAAGTTACAGTACTCGCTCCCAGTGTTCCACAAGGTGCAGTACTCGCTCCCAGTGTTCCACAAGGTACAGTACTCGCTTGCAGTGTTCCACAAGGTACAGTACTCGCTCCCAGTATTCCTCAAGGTACAGTACTCGCTCCTAGTGTTCCACAAGGTACAGTACTCGCTCCCAGTGTTCCACGAGAGAGAGTAGTCGCTCCCAGTGTTCCACAAGGTACAGTACTCGCTCCCAGTGTTCCACAAGGTGCAGTACTCGCTCCCAGTGTTCCACAAGATACAGTACTCGCTTGCAGTGTTCTACAAGGTACAGTACTCGCTCCCAGTATTCCTCAAGGTACAGCACTCGCTCCCAGTGTTCCACAAGGTACAGTACTCTCTCCCAGTGTTCTACAAGGTACAGTACTCGCACCCAGTGTTCCACAAGCTACAGTACTCGCTCCCAGTGTTCCACAAGGTACAGTACTCGCCTCCAGTGCCTCAGAAGGTACAGCACTCGCTCCCAGTGTTCCACAAGGTGCAGTACTGGCTCCCAGTGTTCCACAAGGTACAGTAGTCGCTCCCAATGTTCCACAAGGCACAGTACTCGCCCCCAGTGTTCCACAAGGTAGAGTACTCGCTCAGTGTGCTCCACAAGGTATGGTACTAGCCCACAGTGTTCTACAAGCTACAGTACTCGCTTCCAGTGTTCCACAAGGTACAGTACTCGCTCCCAGTGTTCCACAAGGTAGAGTACCTGCTCACCGTGTTCCGCAAGGTACAGTACTCCCTCCCAGTTTTCCACAAGGTACAATACTCGCCCCCAGTGTTCCACAAGGTGCAGTACTCTTTCCCAGTGTTCCACAAGGTACTGTACTCGCTCCCAGTGTTTCACATTGTACAGTACTCGCTCCCAGTGTTCCACAAAGTACAGTGCTTGCTCCCAGTGTTACACAAGGTACAGTACACGCCTTATTGTTACACAAGGTACAATTCTCGTCCTATTGTTCCACAAGGTACAGTAGTCCCTCTCAGTGTTTCGCAAGGTACAGTACTCGCTCCCAGTGTTCCACAAGGTACAGTACTTAGTCCCAGTGTTCCACAAGGTACAGTACTCGCTCCCAGTGTTCCACAAGGTGCAGTACTCGCTCCCAGGGTTCCACAAGGTACAGTACTCGCTTGCAGTGTTCCACAAGGTACACTACTCGCTCCCAGTGTTGCACAAGGTACAGTACTCGCCTCCAGTGTTCCACAAGGTACAGTACTCGCTCCCAGTGTTCCACAAGCTACAGTACTCGCTCCCAGTGTTCCACAAGGTACAGTACTCGCTCCCAGTGTTCGACAAGGTACAGTACTTGGTCCCAGTGTTCCATAAGGTACAGTACTCGCTCTCAGTGTTCCACAAGGTGCAGTACTCGCTCCCAGTGTTCCACAAATTACAGTACTCGCTTGCAGTGTTCCACAAGGTACACTACTCGCTCCCAGTGTTCCACAAGGTACAGTACTCGCTCCCAGTGTTCCACAAGGTACAGTACTCGCCTCCAGTGCCTCACAACGTACACTACTTGCTCCCAGTGTTCCACAAGGTGTAGTACTCGCTCCCAGTGTTCCACAAGTTATAGTAGTCACTCCCAGTGTTCCACAAGGTACAGTACTCGCACCCAGTGTTCCACAAGGTAGAGTACTCTCTCCCAGTGTTCCACGAGGTACATTACTCGCCCCCAGTGTTCCACAAGGTAGAGTACTTGCTGACAGTGTTCCACAAGGTACAGTACTCGCTCCCAGTGTTCCACGAGGTACATTACTCGCCCCCAGTGTTCCACAAGGTAGAGTACTTGCTGACAGTGTTCCACAAGGTACAGTACTCGCTCCCAGTGTTCCACAATGTACAGTACTCGCTCCCAGTGTTACACAAGGTACAGTACTCGCTCCCAGTGTTCCGCAAGGTATAGAATTCGCTCCGGGTGTTCCACAAGGTACAGTGCTCGTCCTATTGTTCCACAAAATACGGTACTCGTCCTATTGTTTCACAAGGTACAGTACTCGCTCCCAGTGTTCCACCAGGTACAGTACTAGCTCCCAGTCTTCCAGAAGGTACAGTACTCGCTCCCAGTCTTCCACAAGGTTTAGTACTCGCCCCAAGTGTTCCACAAAGTAGAGTACTCGCTCACACTGTTCCACAAGGTAAAGTACTCCTTCTCAGTGTTCCACAAGGTGCAGTACTCGCCCCCAGTGTTCCACAAGGCACAGTACTCGCTTCCAGTGTTCCACAAAGTACAGTACTCGCTCCCAGTGTTCCACAAGGTACAGTACTCGCTCCCAGCGATCCACAATGTACAGTACTCGCTCCCATTGTTCCACAAGGTACAGTACTCGCCTGCAGTGCCTCACAAGGTACAGTACTCGCTGCCAGTGTTCCACGAGATGTAGTACTCGCTCCCAGTGTTCCACAAGGTATAGTAGTCACTCCCAGTGTTCCACAAGGTACAGTCCTCGCACCCAGTGTTCCACAAGGTAGAGTACTCGCTCACAGTGTTCCACAAGGTATGGTACTCGCCCACAGTGTTCCACAAGGTACAGTACTCTCTCCCAATGTTCCACAAGGTACAGTACTCGCTCCCAGTGTTCCACAAGGTGCAGTACTCTCCCCCAGTGTTCCACAAGGTAGAATACTTGCTCACAGTGTTCCACAAGGTACAGTACTCCCTCCCAGTGTTCCACAAGGTACAGTACTCGCCCCTAGTGTTCCACAAGGTGCAGTACTCGCTCCCAGTGTTCCACATTGTACAGTACTCGCTCCTAGTGTTCCGCAAAGTACAGTACTCGCTCCCAGTGTTACAGAAGGTACAGTACTCGTCCTATTGTTCCACAAGGTACGGTCCTCGTCCTATTGTTCCACAAGGTACTGTACTCGCTCCCAGTGTTCCGCAAGATACAGTACTCGCTCCCAGTGTTCCACAAGGTACAATACTCTCCCCCAATGTTCCACAAGGTACAGTACTCGCTCCTTGTGTTCGAGAAGATAAAGTACTTGCTCCCAGTGTTCCACAAGGTGCAATACTCGCTCCCAAGATTCCACAAGGTACAGTACTCAGTCCCAGTGTTCCACAAGGTACAGTACTCGCTCCTAGTGTTCCACAACGTACAGTACTCGCTCCCAGTGTTTCGCAAGGTTCAGTACACTGAGTGTTCCACAAAGTACAGTACTTGCTCCCAGTGGTCCACAAGGTAAAGTACTCGTCCTAGTGTTCCACAAGGTACAGTACTCGCTCCCAGTGTTCCACAAGGTACTGTACTCGTCCTAGTGTTTCACAAGGTACCCTGGAGAGTTTACTCGTCTTTGTGTTCTGCAAGGTACAGTACTCGTCCTATTGTTCCTCAAGGTACAGTACCCGCTCCGATTATTCCACAAGGTACAGTACTCGCTCCCAGTTTTCCACAAGGTACAGTACTTGCTCCCAGTGTTCCACAACGTAGAGAACTCGCTCCCCGTATTCCACAAGGTACAATACTCGCTCCAGTGTTCCTTAAGGTACAGTACTCGCTCCCAGTGTTCCGCAAGGTACTTTACTTGCTACCAGTGTTCCATAACGAACAGAACTCGCTCCCAGTATTCCACCAGGTTCCGTACTCGCTGGCAATGTTTCACAAGGTCCATTACTCGCTCCCAGTGTTGCACAAGGTGCGGTTCTCGCTCCCAGTGTTCTTCAATGTGCATTACTCGATCCCAGTGTTCAAGTACATTACTCGCTCCAATATTCTACAAGGTACAATACTCGCTTCCAGTGTTTCAGAAGGTTGAGAACTCGCGCTCAGGGTTCCACAACTACAGTACTCGTTCCAAATATTCCACAGGTACAGTTCTTGCTCCCAGTGTTCCATAAAGTACTCTTGGGACTCTTTGCAGAACTGCATGCACTGGGAATCGCCGACTCTGCAATATGCCTCTTCAGTGGTTACCTTGAAGGTAGATCTCTCAGTGTAGTTCCCAACGGGACAGAGTCAGCAAGACACTCTACTGGTGCAAGTGTTTCACAAGGGAGTGTGCCTGGGCCATCGTTATGGAATGTCTACTTCAGTGATTTTCTTCATCGCAACAGTGTCCTATGCATATGCAGACGACCGTACTCTGATATTTAATTATCCAAAAAAGGAAATACCAGCTGCACTAAGTTACATCAATTACCAGCATATGGCTCTATCAGCTTGGTGACAACGACGCAGGTCACATTTGCTCCGAGAAAACACAAATGATGGTAGTCTCTAGGTACCTTGATGGTAATGCTGGAACAGTGTTAAGTATCAATGGGAGGGTGTTAGTACCCGGGGATGAAGTTGATATCCTTGTGGTGAAATTTGACTTCAGATTGACCACGAAGAACCAAGTTGTAAATCTTACAAAGCAGCCAGGAAGCTTACAACACTTAAATGTATATCGTATCTATTCAGCAGTAGAGGTTTTGCAAGATTCTGTATGAGGCACTAGTACACCCACACCTTGAGAATACTCCACTTTCTTGGTTTGTCTGCCCCTTCGCCTCATCTGTTACTTCCTTACAGAATAGAGAACAGAGCAAGACGACTCATCTCTCGCCTCAACCCAGCCTGTAGTGTTGTCAAGGTACCACACTTGGCTCCACTCTGAAGACTGTGAAAAGTGAGCTTTTACACAACAAGACGAGCAGCAAACAGCAACTACACTCTGACTTTACCCTTCTCCAGAACATCACTTCATCTGAGATCATTTATTCCTAAGATGATTCGAGTCTGGAACATGTTTGTACAGCATAATGACATCAACGAAATAAAGTCAGCTGTCCAAATGAAATCACTGGACCACAGATGGCGAGTAAATAAATGCAGAATCACTTAATCAAACCCATTAAAACCATCGTGTAAAAAAGTACTAACCTTGGCATCAACCAGCTGCAGCATGTAGGTACTCCACAAAATCACCATCAACAGTATTATCTTCATCACGTCATTCTTCACAGTGACTATCATGTCATTCTTCACCGTATCCATCACGTCACTCATCACAGTAACCATTACTTCTTTTCTAAAATATCACTTCACTTATTTTTCACTGTAAAACACTAAAATTTAAAGTTGATACGAAGTTACTTAATCTGGAGGTTACCACAGCCTTGCTGGCCAGACAGTAAGCTGTAATAACTTATATTTGTAGGCTGTTACAACCTACTTGTGTATGGAGACAAGTCTCGTCACAATCAATATATTACTAACTAAGACTGAGGGCAGTGTCTGGCTGGAAGTGGGCATAGGGTATGTAAGTCTTCCCCTTACTCCTCACTAAGACTGGGGCACTGGCTGGCTGGTAGTGGGCATAGGGTATGTAAGTCTTCCCCTCACTCCTCACTAAGACTGGGGCACTGGCTGGCTGGTAGTGGGCACGGGGTATGTAACAGTCTTCTCCTCACTCCACTGATTATCGTTCACTGTCTTAAAACTGTAAGTTACAACAACACATTGTAACGTCACCATCTTGTTGTTCCCTCATACAACAAACAACCTGAGTCACTTACAATATTAAACACAAACATTTATCAAGTTGATGATGCTGCTATATAACATTATTATTTCTCTAATTGTTTTCAATTTAGTCAACAGAATGTGACTAAAATTTAATGAAAAATTTCGAGATATAAATTTAATTTCTCGTGTCTGCATTTGCCTTTAAACAATTTCTGGAGGTTTCCACGTACTGTGTTTTTCTCTGGGGGCTTAATGCACAGTTTTATTTTCCCAACTTTTACCTTTATTAAAATTTGATTTATATATGTATGGGATATAATAATTTATGGTTTTACGATTGATGATTAAAAAAATGATTTTGCTTTGACCAAAATATAAGTTACTGCCTAATTTAAAACTGTAATTTTTATACGTCAACAGAGATTCAATCATACGTCAACACAGAGGCCTATTATATTTACGTCACAAGAGCCTAATCTTTACGTCTCCCGAGGCCTATAATAAGTCTCCTGAGGCCTATCATATCTTCACCAGTGGCCTTCATACGTCTCAAGAGGCCTAATATTCGCATAATTGAAAGGCCTATAATTCGTCTCCAATGGCCTTAAGTTGCATTACGTCTCCAGGGCCTTTTTCATACGTTCACCTGATAGGCAGAGTTATAATATCGTCTCACAGACGGCCTTTATAATACGTCTCGTGTGGCAGAGCTGGAGTATACTGTGGCGTTCTTGACGGCACCTAGTGGGGCCACGTAGATTTAGGATCCTGATTATGAAGTACATTTGTTGTTGTAAGGGTTGGTTGGAAAATTAACGATAATCGGATATGTTTAGTTGTGCGTGTTTGTCTTTGTGGGGTGTTAGGTTACGCGGTTGTGTTTGGGGGTTGGGGGCCTTCCCTCCCCCCGGTGGCAGCCTCTTGTTGGGGGCATCCCATCCCCCCAGAGGGGGGCACTGCCGCTGGGGGGGGGAGGGGGGGGGGCGGGGGCAACCCGCCCCCCCTGCGCAGCCTCAGTGGTGGTCATGTTGTGGCAACCCTCCCCCCCTGGCACCCGTGGTGGGTGGAAAACCCTCCCCCCCCTGGCACCCCGTGGTGTTGTGGCAACCCTCCCCCCCCGTTTGTGTGGGAGCCTCACAGTGTGTTGGACAAAACCCTCCCCCCTGGCTGGCACCCGCGGGTGTGTAGGGCTACCCTACCCCCCTGGCCAACCCGCCGGTTTGTTGTGGCAACCCTCCCCCCCTGGCACCCGCGGTGTTGTGGAACCCTCCCCCCCTGGCCCCAGCCTCAGTGTGTTTGGCAAACCCTCCCCCCTGGCACCCGCGGTTGTGTTGGCAACCCTCCCCCCCTGGCACCACCGCGTGTCAGTTGGTGGCTACCCTCCCCCCCTGGCACCCGCGGGGTGTTGTGGCAACCATCCCCCCCCTGGCACCCGATGTTTTCTTTGCGTTGTGTTGGGCAAACCCTCCCCCCCCCTGGCACCCCGTGAGGGTGTGGCAACCCTCCCCCCCCCTGGCACCCGCGGGTGGGTGGCAACTTCCCCCCTCGGCACACGCGGTGTTGTGGCAACCCTCCCCCCCCTTGGCACCCGCGATGATGTTGTTTGTCGGCTTGGCAACCCTCCCCCCCTGGCACCCGTGGAGCGTGTGTTAGGCAAACCCTCACCCCCTGGCGACCCGCGGTGTGTGGCAAAACCCTACCCCCCTGCACCCGCGGTTGTGTGGCATCCTCCCCCATGGCACCCGTGGTGTGTAGGCAACCCTCCCCCCCTGGCACCCGTGGTGTGTGGCAACCCTCCCCCCTGGCACCGTGGGGTGTGGCAAAACCCTCCCCCCTTGGCACCCGTGGGGTGTGGCAACCCTCCCCACCATTGGAACCGGGGTGTTTGTGCAAAACCCTCCCCCCTGGCACCCGTGGTGGGTGGCAACCATCCCCCCTGGCTCCCGGCGGGGTTGTGGAACCCTCCACCCCTGGCACCCGCGGGGTGTGCATCCCTCCCCCCCCTGGGCTCCCGTGGTGTGTGGCATCCTACCCCCTGCACCCGTGGTGTGGTGGAACTCCCACATGGGAACCCGTGGTGTTGTTTGTTGCAAACCCTCCTACCCCCCCTGGCACCCCGTTGTGTGTGGCAACCCTCCCCCCATGGCACCCAGTTGGTGGTGTGGCACCCTCCCCCAAGGCACCAGTGGTTGTGTCGGCAACCTCCCCCCTGGAGGCAACGTGGTTTGTTTTCTTGTGTGGCAAACCCTCCCCACCCTGGCACCCCCCGCGGTGGTGTCGGCAACCCTCCCCCCCCTGGCACCCGCGGTCGTGTGGCACCCTCCCCCCTGGCTCCGTGGTTGTGTGGCAACCCTCCACCCCCCTGGCACCCGTGGTGTGTGGCACCCTCCCCCATGGCACCCGCCATGGTGTTGTTGGCAACCCCTCCCCCCTGGCACCCGTGGTGTGTGGCAACCCTCCCCCCCTGGCACCCGTGGTGTGTCGGAACCCCTCCCCCCTGGCACCCGCGGTGTGTGGGACCCCTCCCCCCCTGGCACCCGTGATTGTGTGGCATCCCTCCCCCACCCCCTGGCTACCCCCCGTGGTGTTGTTGGCAACCCTCCCCCCCTGGCACCCGCTGGTGTGTGCAACACCCTCCCCCCCTGGCACCCGTGGTTTGTGGCAACCCTCCCCCCCTGGAACCCGTGGTGTTTTGTGCACCCTCCCCCCTGGGCACCCCCGTGGTGTTTGGCAACCCTCCCCCCCTGGCACCCGTGGTGTGTGGGCACCTCCCCCCCCTGGCACACGCTGTGTGTGGCAACCCTCCCCCCTTGGCACCTCGGGTGATGTATGGAAACCCTCCCCCCCTGGCACCGTGTGTCTGTTGGGACAAAACCCGCCCCCCCTGGCTCCCCGCGGTGTGTTGCAACCCTCCCCCCCCTGGCACCCGTGGTGTGTGGGGAGCATAACCTCCTCCCCCCTGGCACCGTGGTGTTTGTGGCAACCCTCCCCCCCTGGCACCCGTGGTCTGTTGTGGCAACCCTCCCCCCTGGCACCCGTGGTGTGTGGCAAAAACACTCCCCCCCTGGCACCCGCGGTGTGTGGCACACTCGCCTCTGGCCACCCGTGGTGTTTGTGGCAACCCTCCCCCCCTGGCACGTGGTGTGTGGCAACCCTCCCCCCTGGCACCCGTGGTGTTGTGGCAACCCTCCCCCTGGCACCCGCGCGGTGTGTTCGGGCAAACCCTCCCCCCCTGTGCACCCGTGGTGTGTGGCAAACCCCTCCCCCCCTTGGCAACCGTGGCGTGTGGCAACCCTCCCCCCGGCACCCGGGGTGTGAGGCAACCCTCCCCCCCTGGCACCCGTGGGTGTGGCAACCCTCCCCCCCTGGACCCGTGGTTGTGTGGCAACCCTCCCCCCCTGGCACCCGGGTGGTGTGTGTTGTAGGCCCAACCCCTCCCCCCTGGCAACCCGCGGGTGTGTGCAACCCTCCCCGGGCACCCGCTGGTTGTTGTTGGGCAACCCTCCCCCTGGCACCGTGGTGTGGTGGCAAACCCTCCCCCCTGGCACCCGTGGTGTGTAGGCAACCCTCGCCCCCCCTGGGCACCGTGGTGTGTGGCAACCCTTCCCCCCCCTGGCACCCGTGGTGTGGTGGCAACCTCCCCCCCTGGCACCCGTGGTGTGTGGCATAACCCTCCCCCCCTGGCACCCGGGGTAGTGTGGCAAACCCTCCCCCACCTGGCACCCGCGGTTGTGTGTTTGGCAACCCCACCTCCTCCCCCCTGCCCCGTGGTGTGTGGCAACCCTCCCCCTGGCACCCGTGAGTGTTGTGGCAATCCCTCTGCCCCCCTCGGAACCCGTGAGCTCCATAGTATGTCTGTGGCAACCCTCCCACCTGGCACCCGTGGTGTTGTGGCAACCCTCCCCCCCTGGCACAGTGCGTGTGTGGGCATCCTCCCCCTGGCACCCGTGATGGTGCGGTTCCTTAGGTGTTGTGTAGGCAACCCTCCCCCTGGGCACCCGTGCGTGTGTGGCAACCTCCCCCCTGGCACCGCGGTCATGTGTGGCAACCCTCCCCCCCTGGGAAAGCCTCATGTGTTGTGGCAACCTCCCCCCCTGGGAGGCCCTCAGTGTGTGGCACCCTCCCCCCTGCACCCGCGGTGTGGCGGCTACCCCCCTCCCCCCTGGGAGGCCTCAGTGTGTGGCAAACCCTGCCCCCTGGGAAGCCCCTCAGTGGTTGTGGGCAACCCTCCCCCCCTGGCACCCGCGGTTTGTGTGGCAAACCCTCCCCCCTGGGAGCCTATTGAGTGAGTGGCAACCCTCCCCCACTACGGGAGCCTCAGTGTGTGGCAACCCTCCCCCTGGCACCCGCGGTGATGTGTGGCAACCTCCCCCCCTGGGAGCCTCCAGTGTGTTTGGCAACCCTCCCCCCCCCCTGGGCACCGCGGTGTGCGGCAACCCTCCCCCCCCTGGGAGCTCCTAGTGTGTGGCAACCATCCCCCCTGGCACCCGCGGTGTGTGGGCAACCCTCCCCCCCTGGAGCCTCAGTTGTGCAACCTCCCCCCTGGCAAACGCGGTCTGTGTGGCAAAAAACCCTCCCCCCCTGGGGGAGCCTCAGTGCTGTGCAACCCTCCCCCTGGCAGCCTCAGTGTGTGGCACCCTCCCCCCCTGGGCAAGGCCACAGTGTGTGGCAACCCTCCCCCCCTGGCAGCACTCAGTGTTGTGGCACCCTCCCCCCCTAGGCAGCACCAGTGTTGTGGCAACCCTCCCCCCTGGCAGCCACACTGTGTGGCAACCTCCACCCTGGCAGCCCAGGGTTGGGCAACCCTCCCCCTGGCAGCACAGTGTGTGGAACCCTCCACCCCTGTGGCAGCCACAGGGTGTGGAAACCCTCCCCCCCTGGGCAGCCACAGTGTGTGGGCAAGCCTTCC